CACAGAATTTCATTTCCAGTCAAAGTCAATCTCTCATTTAGTCACTCATTCTACTCATTTTCATTGTATGTTTAGAGTGTGTGATGATTATCATTCATACTAATTCTTTTTCGAACTTTTAGCGTAGCGTAAAAATATTTTACGTTAAAAGAACTGCTTAGAATATTTTTTTTTGGAATGGAATAAGAGAGGCGCAAAGAGAATGAGAGAATGAAAAAAAAATTTTATCGCTTAAATATTCAATGAATGATGGACAGATTTTTATTCCATTAACTGTTAGTGACAGAGAGAAATACTTTGGGAATTGATGACTAAATGTCTAACGGCTATTTCCTAATAATGACTCGAAGTTTTTGAAGTTTGATATTGATTTAATTAATTTTGATGATTGGATTTTTTTATGTTTTCATTAATAAAGTTGGAAGTTTTTAATTTTTTGAAAGTTTCTTTTGGGATATTTTTGGAATTTGTGTGCTGTATGAAGTTTTGAGATTAAAATATTTTACTTTTTGAGATTGATTGATTGAAGTATTTTTATGTGACGTATTTGTAGGCTCATGGTTGAGTGGCTTTATGGTTGATTTATTTGATTTTTTGACGAAGATATTAATGCAGTTGGGTTTGGGTTTGAATTTTATGGCAGGAAAATGCTTGGAAATTGAAATTTTCTTGAGTACAAAAATTTAGAATTTTTGAATTTTAATTCTTTTAAATTTTTATGTTTTCCATGTTTTCTTTAAATTTTGAATTCTTTTTTGGATTGTTGAACTTTTTTAAATTTTTAAATTTTTTTTGAATTTTTATGTTTATGAATTTTTCAAATTTTTTTATTCTTGAAATTTTAAATTTGTTTTGAAATCAATTTTTAATATTTTTAACATTTTCAATTTAAAAATAAACATAGCTTTAAAACACCAACAAGCATGATACGCAGATAATTTTACATTTAAAATCAAACAAAAGCCAGAATTGTCAATTCAATCTAAAGGAATTGTTACATGGTCGACAATCGTCATCTCCCCAACTCATTCAGAAAAAATTCATTTATATTCTTCTGCTGCTTCTGCTTACAACAATTTGCTTTAAATAAAATTATACAAAATACGTGGGTGGGGTTGCTGTGAGATTATGTTATGGTCATTCTATCCAATGCTATGCATTTCTTGCTATTTGATTTTATTCTAATTTACCGTATAAATGACTGAACTCATTTTTCAAATTTAAATATCGAAATCGATTGTTAACAGGTATGTTACATGCTCCCACCCTCACTGAAAAGGTCGGCATTGTAAATTATTTCAATCAGCATAGATACATGTTAAATGGAGGAAGGGAACAACATCAATTAAATGCCGGTCAAGCTTTAGATTTTTTTTTTGCTAAAGCTTTTCAGTAAATAGCAACAAAAGAAATGAAGAGAGGAATTTCAAATGGGCTTGTTCGCATTTTAACAATTATTTTACTGATGATGATTCGTATAAAAAAGGCAAAAATTGTTCATTGCGCAAAACATTTGTAAATGTCTCTGATTTTTTTTTGATAGATGTATACACAATAATATTTTTTTATATTCCCATATCAATAGCTTGATTTTATTTTTGTTCATTCTTCTTCTTTTTTGTGTTGTTAATAGCACAGAATTGAGAACTTTAATGGGTTGGGCGTAATTTGAATGTATATCAAGTTGAATTCATCATGAAAAAAATTTAAGTTTCAATAACTTTTTTTTATAGAATTGAACAGTAAGTAGAATAAACGCTCATTTCATGCGATTATCTCTTTAATTGGTTTCGATTAAATTCATGTTGAGAATCGCATAATTCACATTATGTAGGAATGTACGCAATTTATGCCGTTGTTCCTTTGTATCTGCTGATTAGTTTTTACAAAATTAACTTTTTGTCGCAAAAATTTAAAATTGTTGATTTTTTTCTCTTTGAAGTTCAATTAAGTAATTTGTTTGATTTGATGGAGACACCCTCAAACTGAATCATAAAACTTGATTAATTATTAATGGCATTTCAAAATTGTCTCTGTCAAAAAATTGAGCCTTTAAAAATATTGACAATTTTAATTTAATGGCAAATTCATAAATCTGACTTTACTTTATCGCACTTATTTCAAATGTCAATCAAATAATATTTGAAATTTGAACTAATATGACTTTTATTAAGTCCTTTATTAAGTATGACTTTATCTTATTATTATTAAATGTGATTTAAGTTAACTTTCGTGATTTTTAAGTTTATGTCATTAATGATTCAAAATTTAGTAAGTTTAAAGCTCAGAAATTACAAATTTTACAAAAATTCAAACGATTTTCAATTTGAAACATCAAAAATCAATTCACACGAAGAATATTTCACACAAAACCTCCGTTACTGTCCCATTTTCTCGCCAAAAAAAAACCTGCAGAAATTCTGTTAATCACAAAATAATTTGTTTTTTCAAAGTTCGAGGTCGATTTTTGTGTAAAACATGGGTGGTCTGACAATAACCTCATTAAAAATCAGAAATTGATAAGTCCAAACAATACTAAATTTTCTATGACAGCTTTAATGAGACACTGCGTGGAGTTGATTTATTATAGGAACGGTATAATTCGTGAGTCAAGTGACTTGGTATGAAGTATAAGGTAAGCTTTGAATGATATAAAATTGGAATTTTTGAATTTAATAAAATTCATTTAAATTCTAAAAAATTCCAATTTCCTTCTTCATCTGCTGCTCAAATGACATCAAGCCACAAAAGATTCAATTTACGATAAAAAAATCTTTTAATGGCAATAACTTGTAAACAATCAATTTTACAGCAATTCAATTCATGCCAAAAATAATAATATTATTATCAAATGATGAGAAATGATACACAGAATCATAAATGAACCAGCAGAACCCCTTAAATTGTTTGAAAATAAATGATCATTTTATTGACACAAAAAGAAAAAAATTGAAAGTGTTCACTCCATCTCCTTTACTCAATTTCAATTTATTGAATTTTTATGACAACGCAATTTCGTATCAAAACACATCAAAATCAAAATGATGATTGAGTACTTTATACATCACTCGAATCAATAAATCTCCTCAAATTTCATTCACTCTTATCGTCTTCATTTACTACAATACTTTTTCTTTTACAAACTCTACTCCCGGGTGACTACGTAGATACAACGAGATACGTAGGAATTTGGGAATTTTGTCAAATCCATTTGTTACGCTGATTTTCTATATTCTCACTCTAAATTGAATTATTTGTAATATTTCATGTGATGTCGATGACAAAAGCATTTAATAAATATTTCGTCATCAGCATGAGCAAAAAATATGCGTCATCGATCCATAAAGCGACAATAAATTTTCATTGAAAAGTTTTTCATTTTATTCTTGTTCTCTCTTTTGGTTTTGACATCTTCTTTTTAATGTCTTTATCATGAGTGCTTGACAGCAGATGAATTGAATTTAATGGAATCTTTTTTTTTGTGAATTTTTAATTGACGCTAATGTAAAAAAGAATTTATGAATTTGGATTTAATTTTTGGAGTTCAGAATGTTTGGAGGCTGCTCAATCCAGATGATTCTAATTGGTTATTGGTGGTCTAAACTTGAGGTTAGCTAGACAAACATAAAAATCTGTTTAAAGAGTTTGAAGAGGTCAGGTGCATTTGAAGATTATTAAGAATGTGTGTGAAGGGCCCAGCCTTTCAGCTGGAGGCACTGCGATTCAAATTAGAACAGAATCTATTGTACCACACCCTTTTGAAGATTATAGCTTCATCATTTACCACAAGGCGACCGGAAGTCACACAAAAAAAGTAGTTTAAAATTGTTTTCTCAAAAATCAAAAAATTCAGTTTACTTTCATCGACTTTAAAGAACCTCACTCGTCCCAATTCCCCACAATGATTCACAATCGAATTAAACTTTTCATCACAAACTCAAACAACAAGAAATCAACAGCAATGAGACACAGAAAGCGAGACGAAAGAATTTTAAACACCGCCTAATGAAATTAAGTCATAAAGCAATTTTCTGAAGCGAATTTTATTTTTTCATCTCAATTCTTTTTAATTTTTGCTTCTATTGATAGCACAACAAAAAAAACTTGGGTTTTTATAGAAAATTGCAGTTTCGCTTCCATTAATTGACAGAAGGAAAATTTTTGTAATTAAATCGTTCCTTGAAGCTTCTTTTTTGTTTTTCTGCTTTAATTGAGTTTTAAACTTTTTGATTTGTTACTAATTTCTTAATGGATAGACAACTGGAATTTTCAGAGCAGATTTGGAATGTCGATAAAAAGAAATGCAATGAATTTTTGGACATTTGGGATAATTGAAAATATAATTTAATTTTTTTCTTGCTTACGAATTCTTTTTATATTTTTGGAAGATGTAACTCTCGGGTATGAATTATGTTGAAGACATAAATTGTTTGTTGGAAGGCATTGTTTAGTCCTCGTATTTTTTAATGAAATTTTACGACTTTAGGCATAAACAAATTTGTTATTAAGAGATATCAACAACACAAAGAGTGTATCCATTAATGTTTACTTTTATTACTGTTTCTGTTTGTTTTGTAAGAATTATTACTAAGTTGTTGTCAAGCGTGAAGAGTAAACAGGGAGTTGGATTGATGACACCCATTTTATCATGTCCTTACTCAAAAAAAATCTAAACAATTTAACATTTATTGCAGGTTTATCATAAACTATCCCTTGTCCACCCCTAAACACATCTATAACCTTCATCCACACAATTCAAAAGCACATCCAACAAATTCATCTCCAAATTTCCTCCGGTTACAAAATTGTTTATTGTTTTGCTGTCATTTATTGAGATACAATTGGTCATTTCTCATTACTGTTTAGATATGCACAATGATGTTACGTACGGGAACTAATGTTGGAATGGAAAGTAAATGATGCTAATTGACCAGTTACATTTTGAGTTAAAAAGAGTAATTTTGTGTTTTTAGTACTAATATCTTAATTAGATGATTTGTTTGGAAGTTGTCGTAATGAATGCTGGTTGTTGATTTGTGGTGTTTTGGTATTGGAATTTATTTGTAATAGCTTTGCTGGAACAAATTACTTATTTGCAGAAATCCTAAGAATTATGTAACGAAGTTAAATAATACTTCAAAATTTTGATGATAGAATATGTTAATCTAGAATTGCGTTATCATATTCACACAAAATTTTCAATTTTTGTGAATATATTTAATATGCAATTCATATTAGAATGTCGATTTATGAGGCTTCAAATTCACATACGACATGTAAAGTATTCCGAGATAATTACAAAACTAATGCTTGAATAAATTTGCTAAAACCAATAAATATTCAAAACTTACTCATGCAATAAACTTGATAATAAGAAGTAATAATGCGATTATGCAAAATTGTAAAGATTCATCCCAGCAATATGGTTAGAAATATATTTTAAATTTTATGTATTCCTACAAAAATCATTAAAATAAGGGGTCGTTCACTTATGACGTCCATCAAAAAAAAACTGATTTTTAGACCCCCCTCCCCCCCTCTGTCACAAAAATTCTATAGAAAAAATTTCCATTGTTTGAACTGTCACAAAATCCTAGACCCCCCCCTAAATGTCGGACGTCATAAGTGAACGGCCCCTAAGAAAGCTTCTGAGAATATAATTTGCTCTTGATGTAATGAATTTGCCTATGGCAACAGATTTTTGGGTTTTATAAATTTTGTCATCTGTCCAGTGTTGCATTCTGGTTATTTGTCTGGATCAGATAAATTCTGAGACAGAAATTTCTTCATAAAATCGATTCTACATGTAGAAAGAAAAAAACCATCTACATGTAGATTGTGTCTACATGTAGAATCTGTCTACATGTAGATTTAATGTAGATGTCTACGATTCTACATTCTTCTCTGATGTAGACCTGGAAAAAATGTAGAATTATAGACATCTACAGTAGCGGCCAAAAGTATCCGGACAAACACAAAAATGTCTATAACTTTTGACTGGATGGTCCAATTTAATTCAAATTTTCACTAGAATACGTAAAATCAAATGGAAATTAATAAAAATATTACATTAATAACAAATCTTTAAAACCAAAAATTTTATTTTAAAAAAACTAAAAATTGAATGGACAAAAGTATCCGGACAAAATTAAAAGTTTGACGGAAATTTGTTTAAAAAGCTTTTCTCCCATTGAACGAATGCTTCCTTGTTAAGTATTTGGTGCTTTTTGTTTACATTCATCATGTCAACTCAAAAATATTTAAGTTCACCAGTTAAAAAAGCAATTATTAGTGCTGTAGACCAAGGACGAAATTACAGAGACATTGCACGTCAATTTAGTACTGGAAAGTCCACAATAGCTGATGTTGTTCGACGATTTAGAGAAAGAAATAATCATAACGTGTTACCGAAATCAGGAAGACCCAGAAAGACAACTGCAAGACAAGATAAGGCTTTAATTAATGCATCGAAAGCTGATCCGCGTAAGAGTGCTGTAACATTGAATGCAGAAATGAAGGAATTTTACAATGTTCAAGTGAGTACAAGAACAACTAAACGTCGATTGAATGATGCAGAATTGTTTGGACGACGTCCCGTCAAAAAGTCGTTTGTTTCTGTAAAGAATCGAAATGCCCGAATAAAATTTGCCAAGGAACATCTTAATTGGACTCGCGAGCAATGGTCAAAAGTTCTTTGGAGTGATGAATCAAAGTTTATGTTGTTTGGATCTGATGGAATCAAGTTTGTGAGACGACCAAAGGGTCATAGAAACGATCCTAAGTATCAGTTACCGACAGTTAAGCATGGTGGAGGTAACGTTATGGTGTGGGGATGCTTTAGTCGTGATGGAGTTGGTCCGATTCATCGAGTTACTGGTATTATGGACAAGGAAATGTATAAAGATATCATCAACAGGGTCATGCTTCCCCATGCCAAACGTGTTATGCCTCGAGGTTGGATTTTCCAGCAGGATAACGATCCCAAACACACATCGAAGGTCGTTAAGGAATTTTTAAAACCAAGAAGATCCGAGTTTTGGAATGGCCATCCCAAAGTCTGGATCTAAATCCGATTGAGCATCTTTGGGAACATGTAGAGAGACAAATTTCAGGTCGAAACCCTACAAATCAGAATGCTTTGTTCACCATAATCAAGGATGCTTGGGAAAAGATCTCAATATATGTTTTGATTAAGCTGTGGGACTCATACCGCGACGATGTCAAGCAGTAATTGATGCTAAGGGCTTTCCAACAAAGTACTAAACAGAAGAACTCAAAATTCTATCCATTATAAGCCATTCACTTAGTAAAGAGTATTTTTTTCTTAAACTTTTAATTTTGTCCGGATACTTTTGTCCATTCAATTTTTAGTTTTTTTAAAATAAAATTTTTGGTTTTAAAGATTTGTTATTAAGGTAATATTTTTATTAATTGTCATTCGATTTTACGTATTCCAGTGAAAATTTGAGTTAAATTGGACCATCCAGTCAAAAGTTATAGACATTTTTGTGTTTGTCCGGATACTTTTGGCCGCTACTGTACATCGAATCTACATGTAGACAGATTCTACATGTAGACACAATCTACATGTAGATGGTTTTTTTCTTTCTAAATGTAGAATCGATCTTTATGAAGAAAGTTTCTTAGCTAGACAAAAACTATTGAAGAATCTACATTCTTCATCTAGTGTAGACATCTGTGTTAAGATTAAAGACTTTTTGCATCAAAGATGTTGCTAGGATGATAGCTAGGGTTAGGTAGCTACATCTTCATAAAAAATACGATATTTTTGCTCCCAATTAATTCATTTGTGATATTTTTTCACGATATTTACTGTCACAAATGCCGAGCTATGACCTAAATAATTATACCTAGTAAATATTGTTGAAACCTAATACGATAGAGTAACAAAAGCTTCAAGCACTCACGCACATTATGTTTCAAAATTTCTAACAAAAATATAAACACATCCTTAAGCACATAAGCTGTTTTCAATTAAAATCCTCAAATTTACAAAAATTTTCTTCACAAAAACTTTTCCTACAGCATCGAAAGCATTTACAAAATTTAAGCATACAGCAGAGTAACAAAGTATTGTTGTATTAAATCATCAAATAAAAATAAATTTTCAGACTCTGAATTCACAATGAGCCGACTTCATTTAGCGGAAAAATGAATTTGTATTGAAGAGGAAAGGGTTGGGCATAAAAGTTCGAGAATTAAAATAAAATTGTTTTTCCATTTTTTCCAGCAACCGTGTCTGCAACTCATCAAATTACATCATTTTCGATTTTTGTTTTTTTTTTCTCTTGTATGTACGAGAAAAGCAAACAGAAATGAAGATAGAGACAAAAAGTTTTGTTGTTTTAGTGCCAATGCAGGTTAATTTGGGTCATCAGTCACTTGAAAATTTATAATAATGTCACAGATGATTACTCAATACATTAGCAAAAGACATTCATTTCACCCTTCGTGACATTATCGAATTTAATTTTGTAAAATTTGTCTCACGTCTCCCATACCGAACTGTATGTCACATTGGTAATGATAATAAATGACACCATTTTAATGGCTGCTTTATGTACTTAATGGTCTTACCTTCAATATCATCTGATGATGTTAAATGTATTTCACTACTACTAATTGCACTTATATTCAATTTACTATTCATCAAGTCACGTTTCTTGACTTTATGCTTCCGTTCAATTTCATATTTTTTACTGCGACTAAATATCCTCGGTTGAATTGTTGGAGCTGTGTAGAATTTTGAATAAAATTCTCGTTGATCTTTAAATCTTTTATCACATCCATTGATGAGAATCGCAAGTGGCGTCAAAAAATTCTTTCGTTTCTTCTGTCGCTGCTTCTCATCCGATAACGTCTCATCTGAATCTTCAGTTGAGGATGATATGCAGTTGGGACATCGATCAATAAGTTTCATGTTGTTTCCCTTACTTTATCGATAAATCTGTCACTTTCTCGTATCATAACACATTTCCGTTTACCACCATCGATGCTGTTTGCTGAAAATTCCTCAACTGTATATTTATAAAATTGAATTATCTTCACGATGAAGAAAAAAATGTATATCAAGAATGTGTCACAATAAATTTTTCTTTTTTCTTTATTTCTTTTTTTTTGACAAAAACACGCGCCTTCCACGATTTACTGTCAAGACGAAACTAGAACGTTTTTGCCAATGCTGAAAAGAAGTTTAACATTTTCTTATGCTTTACTTTTTGTCTTGTGCGATCTTTAAGTGACATATTATGATGTTGTAGGTTGAGCATTGATCAGCAGTTTGGGTTTGAGGCTGGAAACGAGACTTCCTACCAGAAATGAGTCATTACAAGAAGCTTAAGTTAAGTATGACAAGTCATTGCCAAAAATGCGCTCTAAACACCACAACCTATGCATTCCAACAAACATCAATTTACAAACTAATTCCTTATGCGAATGAAAAAGAGAAACGGAAGAATATTTTATGGATGAGTGATTCGTATCGTTCGAATGAGAGAAGGAGACATGTAGGTAACCCAAAAAAAGCAATATAAGCTTGTGTATATGTATATTAGAATGAAACAATTCATGTCTCTGTCACGCGGCATTGAAGCGATAAAACCGCTATGGGATTGCCTTAAATATTTGAAATTGGATTTTTACATTCATTCATTAACTTCCTTCAATGTGAATAATGATGACATTTTGTCGCCACATGACTTTGGATATAGATTTTTTTCATGAGAAGCATAAATCTGGATGGAAAATAGTAAATGTCTTTATAGTAACTCTAATGATGTGATGATATTTTAGAAAGGTGAAATGTTCTCGCAAATTCATAAATTTCAAGATTTTTTACGACTTCTTCTTGTTTTTTTTTTATGTTGACATTATACACATTCAGCTTCTATTTGAACATATAAAATGTCATAACATATTTTCTCTTGAAACAAAATGATATTATTTTTATGTACAAAACATATTAAATGTAACTTTTATGCCCAACTCGAAAGACATGATGAGAATTTTTTAAAAGATCCTGTTCAAGTTTAAATGTATATCTTGAGGATTCATGTCGATAACTTAATAAAGCAACATTGTAAAAAAGTAGAGATAAAATGTCCATAAAATATTTTTTATTCAATAATACTCTTGAAATTTTTTTTATGATATCTTGTGCTAGTCGCTAGAGCATTTGTGATTATTTTTAAGGTGGTTTATGAAGAAATTTTGAATGGAGGAAAGCATCTGATATTTTAAGATCAAAAGAGAAAAATATTTTCATCAAGATCAAGGTTGATTATGAGTTTTAATAGATTCTATTTTAAAAATTGACATTTGGATTTCTAGAGAGTCCATTAGGATAATGGTATAGCTTTGGATTCTCATTCTTAGCTGTATTAAACAACATTCAAAGAAGTATCTGCTAAATCTTAAATTTCTTAAGCTTCAAATTTCCATTTTCATGTAAGGGGTCGTTCACTTATGACGTCCAAAAATAACGGACATTTTTCAAAAAAGAATAATGGATTTCCAGGAATTTCTATTATTCTTTTCTTTCTGACCCCCCCCCCCCCTTTTGGACGTCATAAGTGAACGGCCCCTAATAAGAATCTTCATCAAAAATTTCTAATGTTCTTGCTTATAAATCTGGTAAATCATTATAAAATTATGTAAGTTGAATGATTTATTGTCGAAAATTGAGCAATTTTCCTCATCTAATTATAATGGAAACAATCAAATTAATTTCCAATGAATCTTCATATTTCAATAGACATAGAATATTACGAAACATAATTAATGTTTCCACTAACATAAAAGGATTTATTATAAGTAGATTAATATCCCAAATCTTACAGTTATCAATTTTCCCCAAAAACTAATAAATTATGTAGAGTTTCGTATTAATTGACGTGATGATAATCAATGAATAGCTACAAAGTTCATAAAAGTTAATAAATAAGTTAATTTTAAATCGATTCAGAACAGCCTTCAACCGAGATCTACACATCTATTTAAAATGCAATAAATTAAGTCTTTAAGCCACTTCAAAAGAACTCTCGGTTAAAAACATCTTTTTTTATCTAGTTCTAATTTAATTTCTGTGCTCTACTTTTCATTCTGATTTATCTCCTTATTTTTCTTCTCTAATTTTCTTTTAAATCATTCAGCACTTCTCAACGTCACATGACGATGTCGATGATCCAACATTGAATTGGCAAAGGAGTTTCTACATTGATGCGGCATTTAATTAAATCACGTCGGTTCACACAGAAGAAATTTTCTTTTATTTTTATCATCGAGTGATTCATTGTGTCTTCATGTTATTTTTAAAACTCGACCCTTTTTTCCCTTAGTTTCTATTTCATTTAAACTCTACACTACTGCACATCGATGACTTATCGATGAGTCGACATAAAATGAGAGTGGATTTTAATGGCATATGGCAATTTTCAGTTCTATAATCAAATAGTGGACATTATTCGTTTGCTGGAATGGAATTTTTAATTACAATGTATCATATTCACAGGCTGCATTTGAGTCTGGATCTTTCTCTGCTGTTTTACATTATCTGAATGAGAAAAATATTTCAATTTTGTATTTAATGAAATGTGGAAAATAGAAGTAGAGACTATATTGAGGGAGGTTATTCACATTGGACGATGAATGCTAGTTTATTAAACGATTAGGGATCATTTACAGATCAAATCTAATTTTTGGGTTCAAAGAGAATCTTGAAATGTGTGAATAAAGTCGCCAAAAATAAAAGTTGAACAGTCTATGCCAAATTAAACTGAAAGAACTGTCATAAATGGGTATCGAACCATAGCATCTATTCCAAAACGATGCTACTAAGGACAATATGTGCAATATATCCATCAACTTGATTTAAAAAAGATTCTCATATATTTTTTAATATCATAAAAAACATACAAAATAATATCCAACAAAAATTTATTACATGTTGCTTCATTTCAAATCCAACAAACTTTTTCATTCAGAATGTTATGCGAGTAAGTGAATAAGAGATATGAGAATATCTGCAAAACTTTCTTTATTTACATAAAACATAATAAAATCCAACTGAATATTAAAAATAAAAGTTTTGAGAATTTTTTTTAAAACAGAACTGCTTCACGTTTAATAAGAGTGCAACTTTAAGTACGAACAAGATTGAGATACTAAAAGCTTTCATGACCTGCTGTTAATCCTACTCAATTACAGATTATAATCGAGAGATTTTCACACATGAGTGGATTAAATTTACCTTAGTTTGGTAAAGACTAAGCAATACTCTTCAATATTCACTGACCTTTTCACTATGAAATATCTTTTGTGTCTAATGCAGACAAATAAGCTCGATAGACTTGGAAAATAGTCATCTGTTCATGTAAACATTGAAAATATGCCTACAAATTAATACGTATTCAATTATTGTAAACAAATTCGACGAAGAAAAAAAACTTGTAGGCATTCAAGCATGAAAAAGGTCGAGTTGAAAAAGTCTATAAATGTATGACAAGAAATTTAATCTGATAATGTGGCTGTTGAAGTTATTTCCTTATAGGTGTGGATTAGCCTTAATCTAAAGGATTAAAAATATCTTCTGTGGTTATTCATCCGTTGTTAATTTAATTGATGACTGTCTATGAATGTGCAACGGGAATAAAGGAAGGAAGATTTGAGCGAAAAAAGGGAAAATATTTGTCGATTCTTTTTATCTGAGCTGATTTAATGTGGAAATGGAGCTATTTGATGTGTTTGTAGCTGTAGATGCCAAATTTTAATAAAAGAGGGGCTGATTTCCTACCCAAGAATCAATTTGTGGGATCCTCTTTAGAAACATCAATTGAACTTAAATTTAACTAGGGTTTGTGTTCTGAACAACCCTTAGAATTAGACTAGAGCTAAGATTTGGTTAAGGATCTTGTAAACTTAAGGAAAATTTAAAGATGATAAGTAGCAGGCATTGGGTGACAATAGAATCAGTTAAAGGAACATCTATAAGACATAAGAATCACAACCGATCCACATAGTCAACGAACAAAGCAAGTACAAGAAGACTAATTTATAATTTCTAGACAGTTGACAAATTTGTGTGACCCAAATGCCAAGACTGATCAAAACACAAGATTTAATCTCATCACATTTCCTCCCAATTTCCTGAACCCAAGAATGTCTAAAAATAATTCCAGAAAAGATATTTTTCATGTTCCACATACGCCGTACAATCCGCATCACAATAATCTTTTTACTACATAGTTTTTCATCTAGAGCATAATGCCAAGGACGTTATAATACATAGATAAAATTTTCCATAGGCAAGCGAGAGAAGGCGAGGAGAAAAACAGCACAGAAAAAATATATAAATCGATATCAGACATTCAGTCTGTTTTCAATACCTTTCGCTCTAATAATTGACTCACCCTGCTTCCGTAAAACTGAAACTTTTTTTCTTATTTTTATGATTATTTTGTGTGCAAGTAAAGTAAAGTTATGTAACAAATTACAACTTGATTATCTTTTAATGTAAATCACTTGACATTCACTTCTGTCTTATTTGTATTTTATTGATTTCTCACAATTTCATTTTATTTATCAAAACAATAAAAAAAGTTCAACTTTAAAGCACCATTTCCTCTATTTAAGCTACACGATGAATTAAAACTGATTTACTGAAAATAAAACATGAAAATTTCTGTTCAATTATCTCAGTAAATCACATCACATCGCACAGAAATGAAAAATTATTTTATTCACAAAATTGAGGCACACACAAAGTTAAAATCTCTCAGTTCTATTGCTATTATTTTTTTTTTATTTTGTTGTTCGAACAAAACGCTCTATTGAGACGCACGACACGGCTAAAATATATACACAAAAAAAAATAAATATTGTTTTTGTAGTGTTTTGAAAATCGGCATACAGCAAAAAAAAAATCTTCGACCGCATGATGTTCTCGATGTGCGCAAACTCATTGGAAAATTGCAAAAATAAAAAAAAATCGAATATTTTTTTGAATACAATGAGAGAAAAGAAGCATGACATGATGATGATAAACAAGCACCGCAGATGTTTTGTCTTGTCGCTCTCGAGAGAAAAAGGAGCTTTTGTAGCCGGTGGAAGAAGAAGGAAGAAAAAAAAACATTTCGTTTTGTATGTGAGACTATTTTCCCATTATGTCGCAACGTTTGCATCGTTGATGAAGTTTAATGAAAATATGTAAACATTAACACGTTTTAATGAGGTATAAAAATTTCTGCTCGCATTGTTCCGTTTGGTTGTTGAACATTTTTAATTAATTTTCCTCTTCTTTCTGTTTCTTACCTATTCACATCACATTCATGCTGTTTTGTAATTTACGGAAGGGAGGGACGATTTAAAGCTTTTACATTGAGTTGCTCTTTTTTTTATTAAATTTAATGAATTAGGAGGGAAGAAAAAGTTTGTAAATAATTATTTTGTTGGGGCAATTAAGTTGGGGGCCATTCACTTATTACGTAACGCTTTTAGGGGGAGGGGGGGGGGAGGGTCTAAGATTTTGTTACGGTTCAAACAAGGAAATTTTTTTTTCATACAAATTTTGTTACGAGGGAGGGGGGTCATTTTTTCGCGTTACGTAATAAGTGAACAGCCCCTTGGGGAAATAAAAAGCAGTTGCTCGATTAAGCGCTTTTTTGTGGGAAAGCCGAAAGGCTCAGACTATTTTTGTGGCACAAATCTTCATATTACTCATTTATGTTGGCTGTTGAAGGATTAAATATTTGATACTATAGAACTGCTAAGTATGAGGTCTGATTCTACTACGTGATGACCTGACAGAACTTGGAGCATTCTCCTGTTCAAACAGTCAAAACATCCTCCCCGAATGGCACAAATTGGTTGATCGATCAGAGTTCCAGCACAAAGCTCGTGTGACTCTGGCATGGTGCTGGATTTAAATTTAAGCCAGTCCCATGCCAGAATCATGCTGACTGTGCGACGGATTTCTATTCAATTGTCCGACTTGTGCCATTCGGGCTCGCAATTCCACTCTCAAAAATTGCTCAAAAATTTTATTTTCCAAACTTTTGCATCAAAAAATAATAAAATGAAAAACTTTTTTGTTTTGCGATTTTATCGATCGAAATTTAATTTCAATTATGCTGAAATCTTAAATCATTCAATTTCATTGTTACCGTAGTAAAAGCGATACAGAGAAAAGGGAATAAAATGAGAGTATAGACGAAGGATATCGATTACGGAAGATATGAAAAGAAGAAAAATTTCATGTATATTGGTTGATGAAGTTTCTTTATGTGCGGTATGCTAGGAATGGGGAAAAGCTTGTTTTGTTGAAGGGTTTGTAACTATAAGCAAGATTAATACTACTTTAGGAACTATATCTTGTGAGAGAATGAGCCTAGTTGGATGGATTAGGATTTCAATTTCTATGTAAGTTTGAGTGTCATGGATCTTATGTCATCAAACCAGTATCAAAACTCTTGATAATAAGCTATAAAACATCAAAAAATTTCAAATAATTTTCCTTTCTTCAGAAAATACAATAAAAATGCCCACACAATTTCAATCTCCTCCAAAAAGCAATGAATGAATTTTTTTTCTCATCCTACAAAAGCTTCCACTCCTTCAACTGTTCAACCTTAACTCAGTCATTCATTTCATTTCATTCATTCACAATGTCATAAAGATACTATAGATATTTTCATCTCTCTTCCTCGGTGTTCCTTTTCTGCTCTCGATTCCTTTTGTTTGCTGTGATGATATCAAAATTATTATTACTTACTCACAAAAGACATGATGGCCGCATCGTAATAGATTTCTTATTGAAAGATAAAATTTATGACATTTAATGATGAAAAAATTAATGGTAAGAAGAGGAAAAGAAGAAGAACATTTCATGATTTTATTGAGCATGGCGATAAATAACTGTGATAATATGATGGCAACAATTACTGGTGATGATGATGACGACGACGACTGTTTGCTTTTTAGTGATTTGAGACGATAGATAGATGCTTGTTTATTTGCTTCATCCAATCATGGATTCAATTTCAGCAAAAGTTTGTTGGAACTTTGTTGAATGGATTGTTTGTTGATGGAAAGAAACACGTGTCGATTTGAGTTTATAAGCTCGTCGAGGGCAAATGTTGAAGTTTGATGATCTGAATGAGAAAGTTTGATGAGATGGAAATTTGATTTTTGTTTTATGTCGGAAGCTCAAATGTGTTAAAGGATATTCGTTTAATTAATTTCGAATTACTTTTATGTAGCATTTTGTTATCTTTAAATTTAAGTCAATTTCAGCATTTAGGTTTTTTTTAAAATTAAGAGTTGGGCTTATTTTGGAATGAACCCTGGGACTAGTCAAAATTTAATTTTTTTGAAACCAATCCACCGCATGCTGAATGTCAAAACCTGACTAATTATGACACAAAAGGCTGACACAAACGTTTGGTATTTGATTCAGTTCCTCGATATCAAAAATAAGACAATACATTTATCTTCGATAGGATTAAGATAAGTTAAAGATATCCCACAAAAAAAATCACAGTTTCTAAATCCAACTGATAAGATACCGAATGACTTCTTCAGATTATTTTTTGATAGATAATAAATAAGTCTGTATGTTTATTAAGTCATCAGGAAGACATTAAGTTAGTCGAATTTTTGCGGTGAACCAGGTTGGAGTAAAGAATAGCAATCATGAAGCAGAATATATTAGCATTGTAAGTATTTGGATTAGGGATTGTGGATTATAGCACTACACAGTTGACCTAATAACTAATTTATATAATAACTTTATTATTACCTCCAGAACAATCTTATGCCTTTGCATTTCATCAATTCCATTATCGTCAGCTCAAGAGCAAACTCTACCATGTACATTCCGTATGATGGATGGATTCTATGAATGCTTTTTAAATGCTGTATCAACACCTAATAATGAGCTCTGGAATTTTGCTTTCACTGGAACTCATATTGCAGGTCAAAGTAATGCTGGGGTAACAAGGTTGAACATCCAAGGATCCAGATCATATTTTATCATCAGACAAGCCTTCACAACTTTTGTTAACTTAAGAGTTTACAGCTTTACTGCTCCAATTGCCGGAAATGTTATGAGATTCCAAGCAGATGCCTTCCAAAATGCTAATATGCTGGAACAAATCATAATTAATGGAGCAGGACTTAATACTATATTTCCAAATGCTTTAATTGGAGCTCCAAATCTTCAAGTTCTTAATTTACAAAATAATCTGTTAACATCATTGCCTAATTCTTTATTGGATTTATCATATCGTCTTACGACCTGCAACTTGATGCAAAATCAATTGACCGAAATTCATCAAACATTCTTTGCACGTACTACGAACATAACAAATATTAACTTGAATAATAATCAATTGACTAGTTTACCCCAAATTTTATTATCACAAACGAGATTGATTGTTCAATTCCATGCTCAATCCAACCAAATTAATGCTATTGGACGAAGATTCTTGGATAATTTGAATGCCTTGACAACTTTGAACTTACTTGGAAATGCCTGTGTGTCCCAAAACTTCCCAAATATCAACAGTGGAAACATCAACGACGTTCATACAGCACTTCAAAATTGCTATAACAACTATGGAGGAAGTGTAGAACCAAGATCCTTCAGAATGAACTTAAGAGGAATGATGACATTATGGAGAGAGGATGGAACTTTAGTTGGTCGATTGTAAGCTAGCCTGAATTATATAACACCAAAAAATATTGTTCAATACATTTAAGCATAAAGGTGTCATCCGCAAATTAATAAATAAAGTAACTGTAAATGTGTGCGAAGAAAAAAAATTCTGTGAATAAAGTTGTGACTGGATTTTCGAACGGTAAAATAGATAAGATTTATTTTAAGATAGCACAATGACTCAGTTTTTATCAAAAAGTTACCTAAAGTGCTTGAATAAATTCCTTTTGTCATTAAAGCTTGAACCATTTTTATGGAGTTGCTTTTAAATAAATGGATGGATTTAAAAGAAAAAGGGTCTGCAGAGAAATCTTGTCGTACTTTGAAAATATTTGATTTTTCTTTTAGAGTAGATTTTAAAACTTAGAGTTGTTTGAAAATCTGATTTAAGAATCGAGTAAAGTTTATACAAGAAAATTTGGATTTCGATAAATTTCAAATACTAATTGCATAAGTTTTAGGGGCAAAAACTCTATTGGCATTAATATTGACAGCTTTAATATTCACATCAAGGGTATGGTTCTGATAGATTACATTTGGATAATTTTTGATGATTTTGATCAGTTCACATAAGCAAATGATGACAAGTTCAATCAATTTCTAAGTATTTTGCAAAACAGGAATCTCATATTTCACATTCAATTCTAGCAGGTAATTTCAATATTGCCATGCAAATAATTCGACATTAACACTAGAAGGCTGAATTTCTCTCAATATTATTGACTTCTAAAATTTGAAATTAAAATTTGCTTATCTTCTGTATTATTGCTATCAATTGCAAAATTGTATGTCAAATATCAAAGTGAATTTTGCTTGATTCTACAAAACATGCGATATAAAGGTAGAAAGCGTGTAACCAGGAGACAGAACTTTTTGACAGTAATTACATTTCAGATTATTCATTTCAGCTTTACTTTTATGTATGTGAATATCAACTGTCCCTACAAATTATCTGTAAATCAGTCATGATTGCATTTTTATTAATTTCTATAAATTATCATTTTCTGAAAAATACACAAAAAATTGTAAATCACAATTTTTCACTTTTAATTAATGCTGTTCAATTCATAAAGCAGCAATTATTGATTAATTAATCAAACATATAAAAGAGCAAAAAATTGATGTTTTCATCACAAAAATATTGCGATTTAATTTCATTTAAGCAATATTTTATTTCACATTAATTTGCCTTTTACGAGATCAGAAACGAGTGACTGATTTTATGTTGAACAAATAAATTATTGCAATTATTAATTAAAAGGTTAATATTCTGTAAAATAGTCAACAGGTTTTGGGAATGAAATTTCGACGAAATTGCAAAAATTGATTTTATGAACTTTTGGAGTGACGATTTCAAAATGTTTTAAATTTTTTTGAACAAAAAGTTGAAAATTCAACTTAAATTAAAATCAAAAGCATTGAGCATTGAAACATTTGAGCACCCCGACAAGATCATTAGAGTCTTTTATCGGAGATTCGAACATCAATCTTTTGATCAGTTTCCACAGTTGGAAAACGGCGACAGTACAATCGGCGACTGCCACCTGCGTACCAACTCTGTCAGTTTCTGGTGATTTTGGTAGTTTTTGGAAATCAGCTAAAATTATAGAAAAATGAGAGTTGACTTAATTCATCAGATTGTATAATTCTCTCTACCTTGTGGCTGGAGCTATAGTAAGTCTCATATAATTAATTAAAGATATTTTATGAATGCAATTCAGCTTTATTTAATATTTTAAAAAATCAAAAATTATAAAAAATCAAAATATCAATGTAATATCAATTTTGGCACATAGCTTCTTTTAGACCTGTGGTACTGCTGGTGGTACTGGGAGGAAATCAGCTGAAATTTGCACAATAAATTTAATGATCAGAAGGAATAATAGTTTTTGAATAAAACTTCTTAAATCTAATTTGACATGATTTGAGCATTTTTCTTACAAAATTAATCAATTTAATGCTGTTCTTATTTGGACTGAAGCCGACTTGACTTTTTTCTTAAATTAACATAACCACATTGTGGAGATCGAATTGTTCTCTTACCTTCTGGTTGGAAACCTAGTTCAAAGAAAATAAATTATTATTCTATGACTGTGCCATAAGAAACTTGATTAATTAAACTTACCATTTTCATCAGCAATCCATTTGACTGCATAAGTCTTTCCATCATCTCCAACATAAGAATAGCTTCCTTCTTGTACTTCTCCAAATGTTTTGGTTCCATTTTCTGATGTAAGTTCCCTCAAAGATCCTTTAGCTTCCGATTTAATGTTATTGCTGGTTTCAAAATTTGAGGCGAAATTTCCAGCTGAATCATCAGAACCTGTATTTGAGATAACAACAGCTTCAGCATCTTTTGAAGAACTTGCTGAAGCATCTGGAGCTTGTGGGAAGGCAAGTGAAATGCAAATTACTGCAGTCAATGCTGTTAAGAATTTGAACATTTTTTGATGATTTTTTTGGAGAATGTAAAATGAAGTTTGGAAGTTAAATAGCAACTGATACACAAAAAAGAAATAGATGTAGCTTTTATAGTCAAAAAACTGCAAGATTTAGCACAGACAAATTTGAAATGTTAATTATTTCACATTTTGGGCAATATTTAAACAAATAATTATCATACATGCAATTTCAGTCACATTCGTGATGAACATCTTACTGAAAAAAGCGAAAGTGATAATTGATAAACCAAAATATTTCAAACTTAATTGACCTTGACTTGGAACTATCTTAGTTGTTAAAGATTGTTTAGTAAATTTTGATGAATTCATTGAACTTGATATTTTGTAAGAATTTTATTGTCTAAAGATATTATTTTAAAATGACTTTAGTGATGAATCTTCATTAAAAAACTCAATCGGCCTGTTTCACTAAAGTGGATTATCCTCGATTTCGGATTATCCATTTCAGTTTTTTGTAAATATCTTAAACTTTATGGAAGGTGTGGTATTTCTAATTTTGGATTATAAAAGAGTAAAGTATGCCTGAAATTTCTGTACAATTTTCTAGCCAAACGTAGAAGATTAACTTCAATTTTTGCTATAATTCTCAAACTAATGAAGATATAAAAAATCTTAGTATATGTTAATTTAAGTAGCAAAGCACTTTAATGAGATCACACTTTAGATCTCTTAATAATCTTAAGCGTCTGGAGATATTTCCGAAAAACTGAAGTGGATAATCCGAAATCGAGGATAATCCACTTTAGTGAAACAGGCCGAATATGCTGATCATTGAACCAAAATCAAATTAATAACTCTAGAATCCTCTCATTTTAATTTGATTGACAAATAAACACATTAAAATTTTAATCTGAAAAACTGTAAAAAAGTAAATAAAAACAATTTTCAATATTTCTTTTGTGTTAAATCCAATTTTTTTTTATTATCCCTGTGCACACTAAATTATGATAAAATATTCATTCATACATTTCATTCGCACAATTGATTTATGAATAATTATTTACAATACTGTGAAAATAATAAATTTTCATTACGTATACTATGAATTAAATATTTTTGGTATACTCTTTTGTATTTTTGGTCCCCGTACATGAACCCTTTAACTTCTTTATAATGATTCATTTAATTGATGTTAATTATCATGTAATTAATTCCATGAAATGATCATTTGTTGCTTCCAAATTATTAAAATTAATATTTTGAGGCACTTTGGCTTATTTTTTTTCCTTTAATTTATGACATGCCACTAGCAAATTGCTGTTTCATATGCTGTGGCAAACTTTCCCCAAAAACTTATTATTTTTTATCCCTTCCTTCAAGTTTTATTTTTTTTTCAATTCTTGAAAACAACTTAAAAGTTTCAGAGAAAAACTTTTAATTTCCTTAGTACAAAAAGTTCTAAGCTATACTTTAGGGTGTTATATTGAAGGAAGTAAAATAAAAAAAAACTTAACAAAGTATTAACTCAACAGCCAAACATAACAAATAACAGAGGAACTTAAAAACTAGTTAACAAGAAACTTACACATCTATATAACAATAACAGCTTATAAATCTAGTTAACAAAGATTTCTATGTGTTCAGTGAGCTTTCAACAAAACTTTAGATGCTCTTAAAATCAGATTATGTATTGAATTGATTCTGATTAGGTTGATAACTTAATATGGATGATGTGTGGAGGATGGCAGGCTGATTGTTTATTTTTTTTGGGATTATTTTATGAATCTTAGAATTTCATTAAGAATCGTTGTCTGTTGTTAAACATTTGATGATGATTTACTAGCATAATCTTAATGATTGATGCTATTACACCTCCAACCTTACCACTCCACTTATACCTTTACATTTCAGCTTTCCACCGGCAATAGCAACAACAACAACAAAATTTATTTTTCTTACATTATTTCAATTTAAATCCGTGTTAATTCCATTTTCATTGCAATTAAAATTTCTGTGATAAAATGAAAACTAAGGCTTGAGGATGTAGATGTTGATTAGAAATGAGAGAAACTTTTGCATTTGTTTTAATCGAGAGAAAAAGTTTTTTTTTGTGAAAATTTAGAAAAGAAAAAGTTTTTAATTAAAAATAGAGCTGGGTATCGAGACTCTCAGTTGAGATAATTTGAAATTTTCAATTTTACTCAGCTCTGATTCAAATGAAAATTTCCAAAAGTTATTTTTTGTGAGATTGAAAGTCTTAAAAACTAAGAAGAAGAAAAAAACACACGAAAAAAGGCACACAAAAAATATAAAATTAAAAAAAAGTCGTAACTTGGTCTTTGCAATTACGAAGGGACTTTGTGTAATCCCAGTGATAATCCTTATTCAATAGGATTAAGACGAGAAAAAGTTTTTCAATTTTCTCTTTAAAAAATTCTAATTGATTAAATGGGAATTTTTTTTCTTTTTAAATCTGATCAAATTCGTCGATTAGTCTTCGTCCGTAAGAGTCTTATAGTCAAGTCGACAGCATTAATTTTAGTCAAGATTTCCTTAAATTAAGCTGCTCTTTGGTTGGTGTTTTGGGGAATATAATAACAAATAACAATAACAATAACAAAAGAAATAACAAAAAAGTTGAAAATTGGAAACTTTTTCTTGTTCTTCCTTGAAACAGAAAACATTTTGCTTCCCTTTTTTGGCTCTTGTTTGGGATTTTGATGATGGAACTGTAGAATGATTTTAAGAGATTACGAATCTTTATCTTATTGGATTAGTAAATGTTGATATTTTTTGATGAAGCTCTTTGGTTTTGAAATTATAAAATTTTGAATTAAAATAATATTAATGGAACTGATAAAAATCAAAACAATTTTAAAAAAATAATAAATTTAGATTTAAAAATGATTTTTGAAAATAAAAAAAAATTAAAACTTTGAATCCAAATGAAATGAAAAAAAAAATTTGAAAAATAAGAAATTTTCAAAAAATAAAATTTAAACAAAACCAGAATTTGAAATTGAGTTTAAAAATAAAAAAAATCAAATAAAAACTCATTGAATTGACCAAAGAGCTCAGATCTTCTTAGAAGCTTTAAATTCACTTAAAATACTCATGAAAAATTCAAGAACTTTTAAATTTCCTTCCTCGGTCTAAGCCAATATCCTTCCTTTCTTCTCATTTGATGGAAATTTTCTAAATTTAGAAAACTGAACAAGAAGAATGAAGCATAAAAGAAGCAAAAGTTTTGAAGTTGCGGAAAAGAACAAAAAATTAAATTTTCAATTTCCATTCAAACATAAAAAAAACGAAAAATCAACAAGAAAAAACTTAACAAAAAGAAAAACAGAACAAAAAACAAAAAGGATTTTTCCACTCATCGGAAATAACAAGTAACAAATAACGTGAAAATGAGATGGAAAAATCGATAACAATCTCAATGAGAAAATCATTATTTTGTCGATTTTGTTCCTTGCAGGCAGATAGACACTCTCAAACAATAACAAAAACAAAGAGAGATGATATCTTGTTGGTAAGGAATCAAAAGCAAGAAAATTATGATATTTGAGATTAAAACTTAACAGCACAAACTCAACAAAAAACAAATAACAAGTTTTTTTTTTGGCAAACATAAACACAACATCAATTAGATAACGATAACAGATTCATGGTCTGAATGGGGATAATTGGAAATGATTATCATCACCCCACAAAAATCATCTTCCATTCAGTCCAAATTAACAAGTAACAAGAAACAAGAACAAAAATCATAACAATAACAAAAACAAAAACTTAAAGTGAGAGATAACAAGAAGTGAAACTTAACAAGTAACAAGATGTTATTGAGGATATTTATGAAGCATCATAATGTCATTGTGTTAATGATTTGAGGCACGGTAGGTGATGATTTGTTATCAATCAAGTCTAGTAAAAATAATATCATACTTTTTTCTGGGGGCACTGGGGCTTCGTCTGTCTCTGTCGTAATGTCTCTTAATTATCAAACTCACATTCTTTCAATTAAGGATTCTTAGTGCTATATCAGCACCAAAAACCCTACATTCAATCATTTCAGTTAAAGTTTTTATAAAATTGTAATTAAAATTAATGATAAAAGTTCCTTAATTAATTAATTATTTCATTAAAAATTAAATGTCGAGGAGAGAGAAGACTTTTGTTGAAATATTGTGTTAGTTGAGTTTCGTAAAACGTGGGATGTTTTTTGACAACTCAATTATAATTAAATTTATTGAATTTCAAAAAGAATTTGTGAGGAAAAAATTTTCTTTTCTTCTTTTTGATTTGAATTTTTTGGGATTGAAACTTTTTAAAGAAAATTCTTTAAGGTTTTGGTAAATTGTGATTATGAATGAGCTACATTAATCTTCTGACCATCAATTAGGATTGATTTAAAGGTTGAAGGTATCAGAACTCAATTAAATGAAGTGATTAATTGTAAATTGCTACAGATCAGTTGATTTGTTATTAATTGGATGAGATTGAATTTTTATTTGAAGTTCAAAAAATTCTTTAATGCATTGATGAATTGTTTGATGCTATCAAAGCAGCCACAACTCCTTACTACCGAAAGATTTAAGCATAAAGTAATGGATGTCTGTGACTGCCTTATCAAAGCTTTTATTTTGGTAGAACTTTATGTTTTCAAATGTGATGAACAATTGGGATACAACACCCCAAATTGTAATCAAATAATCAGTTTTCTAGTTTTCAAATCAAATTTAAATTTCAACCCAAATTAAACTTTTTAAAGAAATTTACTAGAACCAACTTTTGGCCAAGAAAATGAATCTTTTGTGCATAGAATTCAAAATTTAAATTTAAATCCAATTAAAAATTTCAAAACTTGTAAGACTTCAGGACAAATAAATTTTACAACCGAATATAAAGTCCATCCAACCTTCATCTAATGAGTAATGCTTTAATTTTACATTCCTACAACCAACACAATTTTTCATATTTTTTTCTGTTCGTTCTGGTTCGCATAGAATGTATTGTAAAGTAAGAAAAAAGAAAAGTTTTTCAGGAAATTAAAAAAGAATGAGGAAAATGAATGAAAGTAAACCAAAGTAGTCTATTGAGAATTTTGT